TTGATGAATTCTGCTATAAATAGGCAGCGGAGTAGGCTGGGCTGCCAGGGAACCCAGCCCTAGGTTGTCAGTTTACAAAAGGGAGGGAGGGGCACGCCCCAAGGTGTTGATCCCAGAGATGGACAGGGGTGGCGGCTGCATGTACTCAGGATGGCTTCCTACAAGGGATGTGTCCTGTCTCCATACCTTTTCAAATTATATGCAGGACAGAGCATTTGAGAGGCTGGGCTCTGTGAGGAAAAGTGTGACATCAGGCTTAAAGACTCATAACAACCTGCATTATGCAGATGACAAAATCTTGCTAAAACTGTGGAGGACCTGAAACATTTACTACAGAAGGTCAAGGACTGCAGTCTTCTGTATGGATTAAAGCTCAACATCAAAAAAGCAAAGATTCTCATCACTTAGTCAATTGGCAGCATTATGATAGAGAAGAGATTAGGACAGTTAATAGCTTCAGCTTACTCGGCTCCACAATGAACACTCTTAGAGCCAGCAGTCAGAAATCAACTGATGAAATACATTGGAAAATCTGCTGTCAGTGACCTCTCTGGAGTACTTAAAAGTAATGACATCTGTCTGGAGAGCAATGGGTGCCTGATCCAGGTCATGGTATCTGCAAATACTTGTTTTCCATCACAGAGCTGGATAATGATTAAGAGTGATAGAAGAATTGATGCCTTTAAATTATGATCCTGGAGAAAATAAGGAATATACCTTGGACTGCTAAAATAACAAGCAGGTCCATCCCAGACAGAATGAATATAGGCTGCTCCTTGCATGCAAATATTTTGTGGTTCCATCTGTCATACTTTGGGCATGCTGCAAGGAGTCCTTTTCGAGGAACATCTTACTTGAAAGGGTGGAGGGACAATACAAGAGAGGATGACTCTAGATGAGATGGATTCACTGAGAGACTGGGTTAATGAGGATAGGTGCGTTAGAGACAATGAAATTGGCTCAAGACAGAGCAGGATTCAGAGTAGTTGTACATAGAGTCATTTACAAGTCACAAATTATTTGATGGCACATAAAAACCACTATAAGTCTGTAGTATATGTATGACAAAGCCACTTAATTTAAAAACATACTTTTATTGAGCTATGAAGAAGATAAATCCTTCTTTCTACATATGTATTTCATGAGTCTTTTTTTTTACTTCTTGAGAATATCAACAAGTTTGATCCTAATGTCTAAATTTTGTATGATTAGATTTCTTCAGAATAAAGAGATTGAGTTGGTTTGTTTTTAAAATGTGAAATCACCTACAAAGGGTTTATTCATTAAGAACTATTTCATTATTCACAAAGGATCCTCTAAAAGGTCAATTTTATATAAATATATACATCCATATATGTTGCTGTTATTATTAGAAGCAGTAAAGTCAATTGCTAATCGTAGCACCCTTATGAACAAACATATCTGAAGCCTGTTCTATCCTGTGCCACCCTCCTCTACTCTGATACTCTTCAGGCCATTGGTGTAGTCTCTGTATCAATCTAATTCTTCCAGGATCGTCTTCATTTTTGCTGCCTAATATCATTCAGATATATGAACCAACAACCAGAGCCAAAGAAGACGAAATAGATGATTTCTAC